CCTGGCTAGTCCATTTTAATTATGTGCACACACTCCAGATTTATCCATCTGTTGATGGATATTTTGGTTTTACTATTAAAAACAATGCTACAATAAGCATTCTTACTCATGCCTCCTCTGGCATATAGGGAATTTCTCTAGAGTATGCATTTCAACATAGTGGAACTGCTGGATGGAAAAGTAAGCATATCTTCAAATTTACTATACATTACTATTTACTCTCGTCATTGTATCAGTTTATATCCCTCCAGTCTGCATGAGAGCATTCATTCTTCCATTGGCTTGTTGTCAGTTTGTGTTACAGGTCTTAAAATTCTTTGCCCATCTTGACTGGTGTAAAATGATAGCTCAATATTGTTATGTATTTCCTTAATTACACATAAAATAATTCATGAAAATTTATGGGTTTCAACATTTAGATTTCTCTTTTATGTAATGCTAGTTCATGTCATTTGCCACATTTGTTGTATCTTGATTATAGGAACTCATTACATATTTCAATACTAATTATTTGTGGGGTGCCTGGGTGGCTCAGTCGGTTGAGCGTCCGGCTTCGGCTCAGGTCATGATCTCACGGTTTGTGGGTTCCAGCCCCACATCAGGCTCTCTGCTTGATGGCTCAGAGCCTGGAGCCTGCTTCGAATTCTGTGTCTCCCTCTCTCTCTCTGTTCCTCCCCCACTCATGCTCTCTCTCTCTCTCTTTCAACAATAAATAAACATTAAAAAAAAAATTTTTTTTTAATACTGATTATTTGTTATAGGTGTTACACATGTCCTCTACCAATCTATAGCCTCATTTTGCTGCTGTTTTGGGTGGTTTTTTGTTGTTTTGCTTTGTTTATGGGTGCATTTCTTACAGTTCTCTTCCATATTTTTTTTTCCCTTATAGTTTTAATAGTTTATAGTTTACGTATTTTAAGAAATTCTTAGGGGTGTGTTGGTTGAGCATCTGACTGTTAATTTCAGCTCAGGTCATGATGCTAGGGTCATGGGATTGAGCCCCATGTTGGACTCCGCACTGAGCATGGAGCCCACTTAAGATTCTCTCTCCCTCTGCCACTCTCCCCTGCTTGTGCTCAGGAGAGAGAGAGAGAGAAAGAAATTCTTATGATTTCAGTAGTTTATAGTTTTAATATCTTATTAAGAAATTCTTCCTTACCACCAAGATCAAAGATATTCTAGGGGTGCCTGAGGGGCTCACTGGGTAAAGCATCTGACTGTGGGTTTCGGCTCAGATCATGATCTCAGAGTTCATGAGATCGAGCCCTTTGTTGGGCTCCACACTGACAGCACAGAGCCTATTTGGGATTCTTTCTCTCCCTGTTTCTCTGTTCCCCCCACCCAAAATAAAACATTTTTTAAAAAAGATATTCTATATTTTCTTCTAAATGTTTTTTTTTTCATATTTATTCTCTGGATAATAATTTGTTTTTGTATATTGTGTGAGGTAGGCTTTCAAATCTGTTCTGCTGGTCTGTGTGTCTATCCCCATAGTCTCTTGACTTGAATAAGATTATAACAAATCTTGATAAATGATAGGGCAGACCTTAGACTTAAAAATTGTCTTGGCTAAGGTCACCTGGGTGACTCAGTGTGTTAAGCATCTGACTCGTGATTTCAGCTCAGGTCATGATCCCAGAGTTGTGGGATTCAGCCCCTCATTGGGTTCTGTACTGAGCATGGAGCCTGCTTGAGATTCTCTCTCTCCTTCTGCTCCTCACCCCTGCTTGCATACTCTCTCTCTGAAAAAAAAAAAAAATTTTTTTTTTAATAAATATTCTTGTTTTGTTGCCCTTTCGTGTTAGTTTTAGGATTAGCTTCTTAATTTCCAGAGGTCCAGGTGATAGGTATTTTGATTGAAATTACTCTGAATTTGCAGATTAATATGGGAATAATTTATACAAATAGGGTATATTACTCCATTTATTTAGATCTTCTGTATTGTCTTTCAATAGTAAAGATACCCTTTACTTCTCTAGACCTTTTGTTGTTTTTACATTTTTTTTTTCAACTTTTTTATTTATTTTTGGGACAGAGAGAGACAGAGCATGAACGGGGGAGGGGCAGAGAGAGAGGGAGACACAGAATCAGAAACAGACTCCAGGCTCTGAGCCATCAGCCCAGAGCCTGACGCGGGGCTCGAACTCACGGACCACGAGATCATGACCTGGCTGAAGTCGGATGCTTAACTGACTGCGCCACCCAGGCGCCCCTGTTGTTTTTACATTTTTACTTTTTATTTTTGAGAGACAGAGAAAGAGCACAAGTGGGGGAGGGGAAGAGAGAGAATGAGACACAGAATCCAAAGCAGGCTCCAGGCTTTGAGCTGTCAGCACAGAGCCCGACACGGGGCTCGAACTCACGAACCATGAGATCATGGCCTGAGCTGAAGTCGGACGCTTAACCGACTGAGCCACTCAGGTGCCCCTACTTCTCTAGATCTTATACATATTTTGTTTGGATTTCATCCCAAGTCCTACTGTTTTTTGTTGTAATTTTAACATGTATTTTGCTAAATTACATTTTGATTTGGTTGCCAATGTATAAGAATAATTTCTTTTCATATATTGATCTTAAGTCTAGCAACCTTGCTGAACTCTCATTAATTCTGTAATTTATCTGTAGATTTTATTGGGTTTTCTGTGTAGTCATACTGTGAATAATTTTTTCCCTTTCTAGTCTTTTTACCCGTTATTTCTCTAACTTGCAATACTGTGCTAGCTAGAACTTCCTAGTAAATGAAGTTGAATTTACCATAGATGTTTTTTAATATGAATTTTTAAAAATTATTTTAGAGAAAGTGAGCGTGAGCAGGGGAGCAGAGCAGTTGGAGGGAGGGAGGATGGGGGGGAGAGAGAGAGAGAGAGGAAGGAAGGGAGAGAGAGAGAAAGAAAAAAAGAGAGAGAGAGATAGGTAGATAAACAAATCCTGGGCAGGCTCCATATTCAGTGAGGAGCCTGAGGCAGAGCTCCATCCCAGGACCCTGGGATCATGACCTGAGCCAAAATCAGGAGTCAGATGCTTAACTGACTGAGCCCAAGTGCCCCTGAATTTGCCATAGGTTTTTGGTAGATAATTTTTTTTTTAATTTTTTTTTCAACGTTTTTTATTTATTTTTGGGACAGAGAGAGACAGAGCATGAACGGGGGAGGGGCAGAGAGAGAGGGAGACACAGAATCGGAAACAGGCTCCAGGCTC